CTTCCCATGTCTCCTCTTCAGACTTTTAGTGCCCTACCTTTTATTTCCCACTCTGGCAAAAACTGCTTCTAAAAAATGGGTTTTTTTGAGGTTTTATAGCTATTGTTCTGTTTTTGGAGCTGCTTTTTCTCCATAGCTGCTGGCTTGGTGTTAAAATTCCACATATTTGTGTTGGGAACAGGAGGACGGAACAGTCCTGCTGTGTCCCCGCTGCAGAACCAGCCCTTGTGTAGGAGACGCTGGGGCCTTTTCTTGGAGCCTTTTTCCCTGCTGAATGGTGGGTCTAGATAAGGATTCACTTCAAAGAAAACCTTTCAGCAAAGACAGTTTCCTGTGTTTGCTTAGCAAGAAAACTATACTAAGCAATCGGCTCTGCTTAAATGAGGAAAAAAGGGAAGATCCGAGTCCTTCTGAGGCTCGAGGTGGCCCTTGTTGGTACCGTGCTGTGAAAGTAGACCCTCCTGTGAGGAAAAATGGGATTATTCAATTGGATCTTGGAAAAGGCAGTGCAGGAGATGGTGGTTTGTGACCACACTTGTGAGCGTTCCCTCCCAGGGCTGGTGCTGAGGAGATTTATATGTATTTATTTTTTCTCCTTGCTTTTTAGAAGTGCCCTGGAAAGTGCCCTGAGGTCAGACAGCAGGAGCAGAGGATCCTCAGGGTACAGATTGATTCTGGTTTTCCCTTTAATGGGACATTTGTGACATGGACATGCGGAGCCCTTCGGAGACAGGGACAGGAGAGGCCCCGTTCCTGCAGGGCCTCAGAGCAGCCGTGTGACGGTCAGTGCTTGGAGCCGGATTTTCGGGACGATTGAGGAATGTCGTCCCGGCGATCCGGGCCTTGGAATGCCTCTTTTTGGTCATCTGCTTCCCGGCTTAGCCACACAGGAAGGAATTAGTGCAAATACGGGATTAACGGAGCGCAAAACGTTGCCCAGGAGCTTCCTTAAGGAGCCAGGCAGGAGTGCAGGGCCGGGGAGCCCCGGGATGTTCCCGAGCTGCCGGGGGGCCTTTCCGAGCTGATGACTCAGCGCTTTTAGTGCCGAGTCATCCCAAGCACATGCTGGGCCTTGACTCAGCGCTTTTAGTGCCGAGTCATCCCAAGGCACATGCTGGGCCGCGTGTCCTGCCCGCTGCCAGCCCCGAGTTCCCGTTTCTTGTTTTATCCGGAGCGCGGAGGTTCACGGCCGCGCGGGTTTGCCGCCCCATCCCGTGTTTATAAAGCCGTTACGGAGGCAGTTTTATCTGGCCTTGCTCCTTCCAAAGCCTCCGAAGAGGCAAACGGCCCGGCTGCTGGGAATGAGCTGGGAGTTTTCTGGGAATTGAGGCGAATCCAGCACGTTTGCGCTGGATCCCTCTATTCCTCTCAGCTTTGTCCTGGTGGTTTCCCCCTGTGCTACAGGGTGTCCTTTCAAGTCCTGGGGACAACTGCGTCTCATAACAAACGAGCCCTGGCAAGTCTCGTGGCAGGATTTAATATTAAAACCCTTTTTTGATAGCGGGCAGGGTTGTTCCTTTGATGCTGGGAAGCAGCCGCGCAGGGAGATGACTGTTATTGCTGGATACCCTCTAAAGCAGCCTGGGATTTTAGCAGCGCTGTCATCCTTTCCCTTTTTATTTTCTTTCCCCTTTCCCTCCACCGCTGCCCTTTAAAATAAAACCTGGAAAGGAGGCGGCAGGAGGTGAGAAATACGAGCCAGGTCCTTGCACCAGTGGAGGGTCCAATTTCAGCAGAGGCCTTGGCCAGGATGGGTCTGGGTTTGGAGCCTGTAAACTGGCTCTCCCCATAGGTCCATGGGTGTTTCGAGGAGCTCCAGGCCTTGCTGCAACCCGGAGGAATGGGAGAAACGCAGCGTGCTGTAACGGGGGTTGCTCGTGTCGCTTGCAGCTCCTTTAATAGAGAAGCTCACGCAGCTCTTGCTGTGGAAACTTTGGCAAACTTCCAGCTCTCGCATTTCTCATGCCCAGTGTCCTGCTTGAAAGCTTAGGGAAACGGTAGCAGCGTTGAAGAACAAGGTGGGGGAATAACACGTTATTTTTTCCTTTGTCAGAAACCGTTTGCAGCAGCTACTCGGGTACTTCCCTGCCTCTTTCTTTCCGTTTCCCCCCTTTATAAAAGGAGTTGAAACTTGATTAGGGACTAGTCACTTAAGTTCAGGGAAATCTCTTTGGTGCTTCTGCTAAAGCCATAGTGAATTTGCCTGTTCCAAAAATAGAGATTTAGTCCATTTTGTGCACTTGGAGCATGCTTTGCCCTAAGTGTGAACTACAGGTATCACCCATCCGTGTTGTCCTGTGCTGTCCGTTCTCTTCCAGCTCCCTCAATCCCGAGGTTCCAATTCCGTTTCTTCAGGCTGAATTTGCTCTGGAAATGGGGGGAAATGGGGATTTTGTGGTGACCACAGCTGCTACAAGTCCTTCTGTTTTGCTTTTTGCTCTCAGCGAGCTGAGAAAGTTGGTAGCTTTGGTGTTAATGCGGGCAGGAAAAGAGCTGATGGGAGAAAGCCACCCTGGAAAAGCGTCTCCTCTGCCAAGGAGGTTTCTCTTGTGTTTTCTGGACAGCAGTAAAACCCCCTGGGGCTGATCCTGTGTCTGCTGTTTGGGGGGGATCTGCACAAATGCCCTTGCTGGGGTATTAGCTGGTGAGAGCTTGAAGCAAAAGGTGGTGGGAAACGCAAATAAACATAATGAATGTGCCTTAAGTGAGGGGTGGGCCTGTTCCAAAGGAGGAGTCCTTCCAAAGACAACATGTAGGCAAGCTCCTTACCTTAACGCTGGCCCAAAAGCAGGGCTGTGGGCTGGTTTTGCAGCCTGCTGGTTGTGCAGGCAGGTTTCCTTCGGTGCCTGCCCTCCCGTGGAACATCCTGGGGCTCTGAGCTGTTATTTTTGGGGTGCTGTTTTGGTGGGGTGTGCTGAGATGTTTCGTGGACACGTTGCCCGGTACTGACTGCCCTTGCTGTCTGGTCGAGCAGGTGTTCTGGCGCTCTGGGCCCTAATCACGCATGTGATGTATGTGCAGGATTACTGGAGGACCTGGTTAAAAGGGCTGAGGTTCTTCCTCTTCGTCGGGATCCTCTTCTCAGCCCTCTCCGTGGTGGGATTCTGCACATTCCTTGTCCTGGCTATCACCAAGCACCAGTGTAAGTATTTGGTGGGGCACAGTAAGTACCAGCGGGGCAGTGGGGAAATGACCAGCAGTGCTGGTGTCAGTGGGGTTGGAAGGGACAAAAAAGCTGCTGCTCCACAAAGCAGATTGAACGTAGGCTCCTCGCAGCCCTTCGAGGTGCTGGGGAGGGTCTGCAAGAACAGCACTGCATTGGGTTGTCTGCTGTGATATCTCGATGGCCCAAGGGTAAATCTGTTCCTCGAGGATGCTCGTCTTCAGATATTTATCTGATAGCTGCTTGGATAGAGCTGGTCCTGCTGGCAGGCACTTTCCAGCTTTGCTTCCTGCTGGAGCTGGAATTTACTGCTCTGAAAACCCAGGGCCGTGCTCGTAAACATCTCGTAAAGCAGGTGGGTGAGGATTCTTCAAAGCCAAACACGAACCAACAGGGTGCAAATGCCTTTTAAACTTGGTCAGCATATCAAGTTGTTCTGCTGTAAAATATTTGACTTGGACAAAGGAGAGATCACATCGTTACTCCGAGTATTTGATTGGCTTTAGAGGGGGAATTACTTTTTCCCCCTCACAGAACTGGTCAGTCTCTGCTTGCTGCATTTGGGCTCCCCAAGAGCCCTACTGCTCTTCCCATGGTGCTGGGCAAGCCTCAGGTGGGTCAAGATCCATCTGCTGCCCTTCACTTAAACCCAAATTCATTCCTGCCTCTGGGATTTGAGGACTTCACCCTCCTGGAATAGCATGAAAACTGTTGTAGGCAATCACTAAAAACACACTTGTCAGAAGAAAACCAAAAATCTATCGCCTCTCCTCTTGAAGGCATGAAGATAAAAATAGGAATTTTTAAGGAAATGTAGATTTGGGGAGGGAAAGTGCTAATTTGAGGGTTGAACATCTGCAGCAGCTACTTCCATGTGGAAATTTTAGGATTGATGCACTTATTGGGTTGGATTTACTGGGTAAATATTGCTTTGTGTGTTCTTGAAATAGTTGAATAGAGACACACTTATGACAAAGCAAATGCAGTCGGAGATGAAATTTTTGTGCAATAGGTGACATAAGGGTATTTTCAAATTTGTGACCCTGCGAAATAAACTGAAGGTTGCAAATTTGCACGAATATTGCTGACATGCACTTAAAAAGCAGAAGTTCATCCACGGGACTCTTAAAATAACCCTTGGGTGTCAAAATAGATAGAGAAGAAATGTGTTTGCACGAACAGTGTCTAAAATGAGGCTGCACATTCACTGGTGTGTGGTTAGCACAGCCCTGCATCAACAACCTGCACTGCTGAGTGCCCCAATGTGCATTTGAGTCACTCAGATGCCCTGGGTGTAGTATTAGTGATAGTAGGGGTGAGAAAAGGGTGCAAAATGAGAGTGCTGGAAAAATAGGGCATTAAGACCTCTTCTGTGAGTGCAGTTTACAGATGGTAAACTCCAGGCAGTGAAGTTACCCTGTGCAGTGAAATCTGCTCCGTGGTGTTTGCAGAGCTGCTGAATCAACTCGTAAAACAGCAGCTCATGGGTGTTCATGCACTGGAGCTCTGAACTGGGCGGCTGGGGTGACTTTCTGGGTGACACATGGGGATTAAAGCGGGATTTCTAAATGTGTTCCTGTTTTTTTCTCTCCTAGCCCTGACTGATCCCAGAAGCTACTACCTGTCGTGCGTCTGGAGTTTCATCTCCTTGAAATGGGCCTTCCTGCTCGGCTTGTACGCTTACCGGTACAGGAACGAGTTCGCAGACATCAGTATCCTCAGTGACTTCTAACACTCGCTCCTCGAGCCCGTGTGATGGTGCTGAGCGTTGGCCTTGGCCCCCAAACCCTGGCACAGGCAAGAGATCCGCAGGAAGCGGGGCAGGAACCCACCCAGGGCTGTTTTATTTGTCTGCAGCAGGGTCGTTTTGGTTTTTTTTTTTTTTCCTAATTGCTTTTATTCCAACACACAGCGTTTGGCTAACTGTGTCAATCTAGTCCTTCTGTAACTTTGCCTGGAAGTCCGTGTGTCTGGTGGCAAGTTCGAGGTCTCCATCCGCACGTGCACGACGAGCCCAGGTTCACCCTTGGCGCTGCCCCGTTCCCAAAGCCCAGGGGAGCTTTCAGGTGGGGAGGGAATTCCGTCCCCACCAGGAGCTTTGGTGTGAAACGTTGCACGTGCAGCACCCCGAGGCTTTGTCCTAGTGGGTGAACCACCACGTGGCTCCCCCAGATGTGTCCCAGATGTGTGTAGCAAAGAACCCCGCTGGGTGGAAGTCGATTCCATTTGCACCACCCTGTTCCTCACGGAGAAAGGCAGAGATGGCTCTTTTGAGGTAGGAAGTCTCTAGGCATCTTCCAGCCAGCCTTCCCTATGCTTTAATATTTCTTTTTTACACTTTGGGCTGAGAATAACGTGCAGATTGAGCTCTGCCCTGTGGTCCAGGCTCTGAGCCCCAAGCATCAGTGATCCCAGCGCTCCGTCCGAGGTGGAAAACTCCAATGGACAGACCTGGTGCTGGAGAGAAATGTTAGCTGAGCCCCTTGGGGTTGCATTGCACTAGCTGCTAATCCACGCTCATTTAAAAAATACAGTATCTAATATGATTTCCAGTGAGTCTGTGATGAATTGCAGTATTTAATGCTGAAATTTGTGGCAAGGAGGCATTTGGCTGAAAGATGTGCTGGGCTAAGGGCTTGCTTGTTTGAACCTCAGAAGCATGATTGAGTTTTCCAAAGGAATCTCTTTGTGACAGTGCTGTGTTTCCTTTTCTTCGCTCACCTTCCCTGTGACAGTGACTTTGGGAGAGGAGAGGTGGTTCCTCAAGTCTTCAAAGCTGCTTCCAATGAGTCTTTGGGCAAGTGTCACCTGCTTAATGCAGCCTGACCTAAATGCTGGGCTCTCACATGTTAAATAGGAAGTGGTGGGTCCTGTGTTTGGGTCTGCTGTGCTGGAAGCAGCTGGGATTTATCAGCTTGTCTCTCCTGATCCCTGTGAAGTTCCCCCTTCAGTTTCAGGAGTGTACAGGGCTGCTCTGTAAACTCAATCCGAGTGGATTCACCCTTGTGTCTTGCTCCCTGCCAGCAACTACCCTGGAGGGCTCCAAATCTTCTGGCATTTCCGTATTTCCCTGCTGCCTCCTTGTGCTTCCAGACCAGGATACCCATGACACAGCTGAGGCAAGTGTTTAGCACAGTTATCCTGCTGCATCCCCATGTGCTGCTGGAGCCTTCCCTGAAGGGCCTTTTTGGCCATCCATGGCACGGGGCAGGTGACACCAGAGCTGCTCAGGACACTGTGACCAGCAGAGGTGTGAGTAATGCTGCCCAGCTCTCCTTCCCTCCCTCCAAACCCATCATTCTGAGCATTTTAGTCCTTTCTGGACGAAATCTTCACGCCCCAAAGCTGTGGTCCCCACTGCGGAGGTTGCAGGTGTTCTTAGCATAGGTGGTTCCACGAAGGCATCTCTTGTGTTTCTGCAGGGTGGTGCTCCCTGCATTTGCTGCCCACTCGTGATGCGCAAATGCCAGCAAAATACAATCCCTGAAATCCACAGGCATCCGCTGGCAGCACATTAAGGGGCTCCTCTCTCAGCCATGTATCTAAACTGTCGTATTGGCTCACCCTGGAGGGTTTCTTTTTAAATTTATTTTTGTGCCTCTAAATTTGCCTACAGACAACCCCCTCGATCTACCCCGTTTCCTCTTCAACGTGTTTTAGCTCTGGAATTTATACTCGCATCTCGGCTTTTTAAAAGATTGTGTATGTAAATATATAATATATTTTTACATTGTTTATGCTTTGTTTGCACGCTTGGTGTAAGGTCTGGTCCTGTAGTGGGATGGTGCCGTTCACAGTGGGGTTCCTCCGTGTGTATCCCAGTGTCCCGTTGTACTAAATTGCACTAACTTGTACGTGACACCACAGTCAGAGCAGAAATACAGCTTCCTTCTCACCAAACCCGTGTCTGCGGTGCCTGTTGCTATAAAACCGGTCGCTTCCATCTCTCTTTTAGGAAACGATGCTCTTTCCAGCCCCTTCCTGCCTGTGGAAGAGGTGCTTATGGATGATCCCTCATGGAAGTGCTCCTGTTTTCCTCCTTGTCTCCAACATGCTGTTGGCAGAAGACAAAACATTAAGCCCCATCTCCTGCGCCCCTGCCTGGGTCTTATTGTAGTTGTTTTGCTTTGTTTTTGTTTCAGATGAGGCATTCTCAGTTTCATCCGTTCTTTTGCCTCCTCATGGGCCTTTTTGTGCTCTCAGCAGCTTGGCCAGGACCTGCTGTTGGTGTTTGCTGATGACCTGGTGGTGATTCCAGGCAACTTCATTTCTCCCTTTGCCTCCGGGCTTCCACATTCCTCTTGCTGTTGCCTGCACGGTCCCTCTTGGGGCCACGGACACCTGATCCCATAGGGAACGGGCCAAGAGGAGTGGGAAGGATGTTCCTCTCCAAGCATGTCCTGATGATGGGTCGGGCGCATGGATATTCCCAGATTGTTGGGAAGAAGGATGGCAGCCTGCAGCTTCCTCCGGACAACCCTTTCCATGCCATAGGCAGGGGTTAGTGCTTTGGTGGTATCTAACCATGTTCGGAGCATGGAGTGGGACGTCTCCACTGTCCCCATGTGCTGCCAGCGTTTGAGGAACCTGCCCCGGGTTCGCAGGGGAGGTGCCAACTCCTGCATCCGCCGCTGGGTTTTCCAGGTCTGCCCCTGGATCCGGGAGCAGAGCGAGCGCGTGGGGCAGGTGGGCTGGGATGGGGAGGATCCGCAGCCGCTTCGGGAAGCTTCCTTTGGAAGCCAAGGAATTACCTGGGGGAGCCACCGTTCGCCCTTGCACCTAAAGCCCCCCAAGCAGAAGTGGCCACAAGTCCACAGCCCATGGAGGTTCCACTAAAGGTAGGTGCAGCCTGGAGGCCACTCGTGTCCATGGAGGCCGCACATGCCGCAAGCTCCGGAGCAGCTCCCTCCTCTCAATTCCTTCAAATTTACCTTTTTTTGGTGCTCCGAGCAGCCCCGTGTGCCCCTCTGGACCTTCTGCCCAAGCAGCGAGCGCGGAGGCTGGAGGGAGCCCGCGCTAATTAGAACATTTGGAATTAATCTGGGAAGCGCTGGGGCGACGTCTCCCCTTTGATGCTTTTCCTAGAGGAGGAAGGGGTCCAAGGATCTGCAGCGCTGCGGTTAGGAGCAGCAGCCGCCCTCGCCGCGCTCTGCTCTGCCTCTCGTTACAACTGCAGCGAGTTTGCCGGGCTCAGCTGGACCCCAGCGCGTCCCAACGGGGCGGCCTTCTCCAAAGGGACCCGTTGGGGGGACAATTCCCCCGTGGGAGGGCAAGGAGCATCTGGCACCTCCGTGCCAGTGCAGGCGGCTTTGGGATGCGGGATGGAGGGATGCAGGATGGATGGAGGGATGCGGGAGAGCGGGATGAGTGCGGGGCCGGGATGGAGGGATGCGGGAGAGCGGGACGAGCGCGGGGTGGGGATGGAGGGATGCGGAATGAGCGCAGGGCGGGGATGGAGGGATGTGGGAAAGCGGGATGAGTGCGGGGCAGGGATGGAGGGATGCAGGAGAGCAGGATGAGCTCGGGGCAGGGATGGAGGGATGCGGGACGAGCGCGGGGCCGGGATGGAGGGATGCGGGGATGGAGGGATGCAGGGATGGAGGGATGCAGGAGAGCGGGACAAGCGTGGGGCGGGGATGGAGGGATGGAGGGATGCGGGATGAGCGCGGGGCCGGGC